TGAGTCTTTAAATTATATTATAAAAACAGATATTAAAAACCTTTAAAAATTTTATTACGTACAGTTGCATAGAATTATATAATTGAAATTATTAAATAAAATATTTTTTAATATTAAAAATTTTACATTTTATTTAATAATTTTATTTTATAATTTAATACAATGGAATAATAAAATAATAACTATTGTAGGAAAACAAAGCGGAATATGCATGTTCCTTCCGCCTACCTGATTTTGACAAGTGGACGTACGATTGCCGCTGGCTACTCCGCGTGGGGGCACATTCTATATTCTCCAATTGGAGGGTGCAAACTTTGGTGCGGTTAGGATCCGCTACTCCGCGTCCCATATCTGTATGTTACGTCGACTCACTTGTCAATGTCATCACATCATTTCAATTTTTTCAAAATGATTGGAGAATTAATTTTGAAAGAAGTTCTCGATTTATTTTTATTTCAGTTTTTCTATTATATTATGTGGCAGAGACGATGTATTGATTGGTTAATAAATATTATTTTTGTATTAAAGAATAAAAATAAATTTATTTATTTTTTAAATTTAATTAGATGCATTTTAATTGTAATTTGAAATAAGTAAATGATAAATATACACATATTATTTATAAGAGTATGTTATTTTATAATTTAAATTTTATTAATTATAAAATAAAATTTTTTAAATGAGGGTATTAGAGATTTATTTTTTATTTAAAAATTTATATTTTACAATTTAAACTAAATTAAATTATAAAATAATTTTTTATATTCATAATTTAAATTAAAGTTTACATATATTTTTTAATATAGAATACAAAAAAATATTTATACACTTTCTGATTTAACACACTTAACAACACTTATTAGTTAAGTTATTACGAAACTAATATTTTCAAATTTGAATTTAAGGTGAGAAAATTTTCAAAAATAAATTTTAATAACTGAACTAGTAAGTATTATTAAGTGTGTTAAATTAAAAGGAATATCAATCTTTTTCCATATAAAAATCATCTAGCAATCATTGGCTTTACTCTATGTAATTTTTAATTTTTAATTTTTTTTTGTTAAAGAGACTCTCAATATTAGGGAATGACACTTTCATGAATTAGTATTTTGCAATCAAATTACAAACCATTAGACTTCTAATAATAATATAAGCAGTTTAGGACCTCCAAATATAATGTTAGTTGCTAATTTTAAAAGAATCAAAATAAGAGATTAGAAACAATAATAGCACTAAATAAAGATTTATATTGTTTGGTTTAAAAGTTTCGAACAACTTATAACTAAGTGAA